TGTTTTCGCCTCCTGGTTAGGAATAGGAATAGCGCCAGCGAACTTTGTTAGATCGTCTATAAACGTCAGCATATATTTGTTTCCATCATTAGAAATCGGGTATGGCCCACAAATGTCCAGGCAGATGCGTTCGAATGGGTACACCGAAGTAGTAGTCACTAGGAGTGGCTCTCTCGTATATCTCGATGATTTACTAACTTGGCATACCTCACACTTGTTAATAAAATTTTCCACATCTTTTTTCATGTTTGGCCATAGATATGCTTCTCTTATTTTGTTGTATGTTTTAACTATTCCTAAATGTCCTCCTATAATGTGATTGTTGTGATATTTCTCTAAAATCCTGTTAATTTCATCCTTTGATAAATTTACTTTAATAAAATTATTATACATTTTAATTTTGACATTTTTATCTTTAAATATAAATCGAAATATTAATAATATTTCTTCGGCTTTTAATGCCTTGTAATCTTCTAATTTGGTTGGATTAGAAATATTAAATTCCTTGATATCCTTCTGTTCAGCGTAATTTAGTAACGTTTCAATGCAGCTGAAAAAATCCTTTAGTTTTACTGGCTCATTTTGTTTATTTGTTATAAGATAGATGTAATGACAACCATTTTCTGTAGTGTGTATTGCTGAGTGTACTTCGGCGTTTTCGGTAAAGTCATTTCTTCTTTTTGGTGTAAAAATGACTCTTGGAGTGCCCTTGGAAGATAAGTTAATGTTATCGTCGGAGGTTGTAACGTTGTTGTTGATAATTGATCCATTGTTTTTGATATCGACGAATTTGTCATAAGCATTTCTCAATAATAACACAATCTTTTCTTCGATATTGCAATCTCCGTATTTAGTGTCGTACCTTGATAAACAATCTGCGACGACGTTCGCCTTCCCGGGTTTGTACTTGACGTCGAACTCGTACTCATCCATAGCGAGCTTCCAACGTATGTGTCTGGCCGTGGGATCCTTACAGTTATACAGATATGTCAATGGCTGGTGGTCAGTATAGATAATAAACTTCTGTCCATATAAATAAGGCCGAAACTGTCTAACACTCCATATGATAGCTAATAACTCCTTATCTATTATGGCATAGTTCAGTTCCGCCTTGTTAAGCTTTCTGGAAGCAAAAGCCACTGGCATCTCTCCTGCTGGACCGTCTTGAGCCAGAACCGCTCCTATGGCTTCACCGCTGGCATCCGTTGTCAAGATAAACGGTTTATCAAAATCCGGGTATTGCAATATTGGCGCCTTTATAATAGCTTCTTTTAAAAGATTAAATGCTCTATCTTCCTTTTCACTCCAATTCCATGCCTTATCCTTCCTCAGCAGTAATGTTAGTGGATTAGCAATCCTTGCAAACTCCTTAATAAATTTCCTATAGTAGCCTACCAAACCTAAGAACATTTTAACTTCTTTAGGATTTATTGGTGCTCTAAAGTTTTTTACTGCTTCCACTTTATCAGGATCTGGAGTAACGCCTTTTTCTGAAATCACATGCCCCAAATAGGTCAGCTCCCGCCTTAGGAACTCACATTTTATTGGCTGGAGTTTCAGGTTGTGGTTACGAAGCTGCTCGAATACATCTCGTAACCTAGAATTGTGCTCCTGGAGTGTCTTACCGTAAACGATAATGTCGTCCATATACACTAATCCTTTAAAACCTTCGACTCCTGCCAATACCATGTTCGTTAACCTTTGCAGGGTGCTTGGTGCATTCTTAAGTCCAAAAGGCATTCTCTTGTATTGAAACTTCCTTCCGATAGCTGAAAACGCTGTCTTAGCTCGGTCTTCTTTATTCAGTTCCACTTGGTGAAAACCGCTTGCTAGGTCGAGGGTTGTGAAAAACCTCGATTGGCCTAAGTGGTCCAAAATCTCAGCTATATTAGGCAACGGGTAAGTGTCGCTGACTGTAATTTCGTTTAGTTTCCTAAAGTCCACACAGACGCGCCACCTCCTATTGCCGTCTATATCCTGTTTTTTTGGAACCACTAGTAGAGGGAAATTCCATGGGCTATCTGAAGTTTCTATTATATCATTTCTCAGCATCTCTTCTATTTGTTTCTTAATTTCAGCATGCTGTGCCTGAGGGAGTCTATATTGCTTTATAAAAATAGGTTTATTACTTGTAGTTATGATCGAATGTTTTGTGGACTCTGTAAAAGATAATTTGTCTCCCTCAAGATAGAATAAATCATAAAAGTCCTCACAAATTTTTAAAATAGAATTTCTTTCATCATTTTCCATATGACTTGTTCTTATACTTTCTTTTACTCTTTTAATTCGATCAAAATTACACTTTATATTATTAGAATTTATATTCAAAATATTATATTCGGAAATAGGATTCAAATTGGGAGAGATTAGATTATTATTAACATTAACGTCATAATTATTTGTATTCAAAACTTTAATTAATATTTTACCGTTAATGGGTTTAACTAAACAATTAGCTATATAGACTCCTTCTAGGATTTCAGCAGCCTTACAGAAGAGATCCTCTGCCTTATCTGTAGTAAATGAAACTGCCTTTTCGGTCCTAGCTGGAATCAAATGATTAACAGGAACATCTATAAGACCATTATTTTCTTCTTCAGAAGTTTTAATATTATGTGTGGGATTTTTACCCATTTTATCATTGTGAGAATCTAAGTCTCTATTCATATTCGTGTCTCTATCAGTTGCGTTATCGCAGGGCCCAAAATCTGATAGTTTAACCTTTAACGCACGAACAGAATTTAATTTGTGATTTTCATCCATTGTAACATTGAGGTTTCTTGAAATATCACTCGGAGAATTGTGTTCTGATTCCATCAATTCCCTTGTAGTCTGGTCTGGTATCCTATTATGTTTATTAATATTCGGATCTAACTCTCTATTATTAATTCGCTGGTTTTTCTTCCTATTCCGACTTTGTTTGAAATTTGATAGCGCAGTGTGTTTGTCATCGCACACCATTGCCGCGTGCTCTTGACCGTCAACCTTGCGATGTGTTGTTTTTGCGGATTCAGCATTTCGCGTCTCTTGGTTATTGTTTGAACAAAAATTAATACGAATCAGTTGATTATTGACATTGATAGAAAGTGTGTTGTGTGAAAAATCTATAATGCCGTTAAATTTTAAAAGAAAATCTAACCCGATTATACCATCAGTTTCAATGCTAGTGTCACCGGAAATAACAGTGAACTTGTGCTCGAGATTGATATCGTCAAATTTTAAATTTAACGGTATCGAACCCAATGTGTGCACGTATTCTCCTGAAATTCCGCGCAATCTTGGCATATCATTCGTGTTAATATAATCAGGTGAGCAAAAATTATATTTTATTAAAGAAATATCGCTTGCTGAATCTACAATAAAAACACACTGTGTACCATTTAAGTTTAATATGACCTTATTACTCTCATTAATCCTTTTGCTTGACAATCCAAAACTTCTATATACCCGAGTGCAGGAGTGATCGCTCGAACACTCGGCATTATTCAGTTTTTTTGGCTTTTATTCTGACCGGACCGTCTGTGATCTTCGGAGCGTCTTGGCTGAGGGCTAGGAGGTCGTGGTACTGACTCACTGCGTCGAGGTTGTTCGCCGACGTTCTCCATTGTTTGACGAGGCCTATGGTCGACCTTAAATATAGTCCTCCGTCTACAATTAGAGTATTGATGTCCCGAAATCTTGCATCTTTTGCAGAATGGTGCTCCGGTCTCTTTCGCTGTAGAATTAGTTGTCAGTGATTTTGTATTTCCCCCGTAGTGATGTCCACTCCTACCTAGGTTTTGTTCCTCTTGAATAGCCATCAGTACAGCATCCTCTAGATCAGCATGTCTGGCCGCTTTAATTAATATTCTGAGTTCTGGCCTAAGGCCATTAATGAATACCGTCAAAGCTAGCTGATTGTGAGCGGATTGTAATGAGCGCAATGATGCTTTATCATCTGTTTTTGATTGGTCACACATTAACCCAAGGATTTTTTCGATTTTCTCTGAATATTTTCTAACAGATTCGCCTGGCAATTGTCTTATATTGGCAAGTTCTAATTGTAATTCCGGTATAGAACGACGTTCCCCAAATTTTGAAATTAATAAGTCTTTAACTTCATCCCATAACAAATTTTCTGTATTTCTAATATAATTAAAAGCAGACCCCTCTAATTTAGTTAAGGCTATTTTTAAAAGTTGTGAAGCTGTTGCAGAATTTGAACCTTTTCTTAACGTATCTACTGTATAAATAAACTTATTTAACTCTGATGGTTTCCCATCAAATTTAGGAATTAAATTTATAGCTGAATTTATTGCTACAGGGTCAATTCTTGTGTCTTCTTCCTCTAATCTGAACTCATCTATTTGTGTTGCAAACGTGGATCTTCTGGGAGAATGCGCCATTGTTTCAGAGAGAAAAGAAAAAAGTCACTTACTTGGGGAGTAAAATCCTAGTAGTATTGTCCAAATAGCTCCGGTTGGTTTGGCTGCCACCTGTGTCCTTTGAGTCCTTCGTGCGTTTGGGGTGGAATATGGCCCTTTAGCACTTCACTGTCTCAGGAAATCCCACCGCTGCCACCATGAAATGTGACGGCGTGGTTGTTGACTTGGTTGCTTCTGGGTCCTTCTAGCTATGTAGGGGTAATCCTAGCAACCCAAGCTCAACTCGTCCACAGATATATGATAAGCGGGGTACTGGTTTGATAAGTCTCCTCGGAACGGGGTGGTTTCCTAGAGGTATTAGCTGGAAGACTTGGTGTAAATAAAATACAAGCTCTTCCGTAATTATAACCACTTTATTGAACAACACTAACAATATGACATTCAATGTCTAATAAACTAGAGTCACTTACAGTGTCTAGGATTTCACTAACTTTTACAAGAATTATTCGACTATTATATACTATAATATCTGGGTCATTAATAATAAAACAAGGTGTTTTTGTAATGTACTGTTTATGGACTAAATAAATTTTATAACAAACTTACTGTTGCTGTCGCAATTGAAACAATTTTTGTTTACAATTGCGCAGGACAGTTGAGATGTTTAATAAATTCGGAGTGATCCAAAGAAAAATATTTTTTAAATTTATAGAGACTATTTTTAACAAACATACTTTTCAAACAATGCATATTAATGACAGAAATTATGTCAGCTATGCACTCTTGTGTAACATTGTGCCGTAGAAAAATCATTAATATGAGGAACATGCTGTCCGATACTGTAAGTGGAGCTCCTTCATAAACCAATTCATCAGAATAGACTTCTTCCTGTTTGAGTTGATCTTCTTCAGAATCACCTTCCTCTTCAAACTCACGTTCCGTTAATAAATTAACTCCATTCCCACTTTGTGTATTATCAAAAACATCATTTTCAATAAAAAGATTTCTATCATAACCTACAGCATTGTCACTATAAAGTATAATAGAAAAATTAATGTATGTCACAAAAATGCAATATATATTTGACTATACAATTAATATTGAAATGTACGAGCTTACCGTGCGTGAGTTGAATTATTTTCAACAAAATTTGTAGAAATTCTATTACAACGAGGATCATTACGAATAGATTCAACAATTTGAATAGTATTTATCTCGTTTTGTTTATCAAAAGCTTGCCTTAGCCGTTTTTGCCTCTGCCGTTTTTGCCTCTGCCGAGATCCAACTGTATCAAGTGATTTTCTTGGTATCATTTTACAGTTTAAATTATTTATTAATTAATATATATACATATATTACTCTTCGTTGTTCTCAAGATTTTACCCAAGATATTTTTATATATATTTTATATATAATTATAAAATATGGCAAGAATCACCATGAACGCATTAGTGTTGTGGATTGAATCGGGTACTTCGGACATTATGCCTTTGAAGTGTATATGTCCGAAAGATAGGTATGTTGGTGCCATTACAGAAATATCGTGGAAGAAAACCGAAAATGATGACGCCGGTCAAGGAAAAGCGAAAGTGCTAGCTATCAGCGGTATGTATCATCATTTCTTGTCTGATAAAATGTAATTTAATTGTTCTTAAAAGAAATATTGAATTTTAGAAGATACTGAGCACTTAAACTCGTTGACCGTAACGGTGGACGGTCGCTTGGATGTTCCTCCAAACAAAGTTTTAGTTGAGGAAGTGATTCAAGAAAATTCTGGTATACAAGAAAACAAGAAGAAAATACAGTTGGCGTGCATTAATAATAAAAAGAATATGGACGCAGGCTTACGAACGGAGCCAACTATCTTTGACAATAATGTGTTTGATAATAACGAGGACATGATTTTTGTTGTGGAAGAAAATCCATCTGAAGCAGTTGGGTCTCCAGCAGATGTGTGCAGTGATTCAGAAATTTCTACTGAATTCTCTGAGGAGCACATCAAATCACTTGCAATAGCGTATCCAGTGAAAGGTATACTATAATATAATAGCAATAATGTTCTCTAATGTAGAGTTATTCTAATGTGTTTATACATATTCATATTCGATTAGTTATCAAGGAAGACATAAAAAAACACGAGCTTTGGGGAGCCGTACTGAAGTATGCTTATAGGCTTCAGAGCAAGAAAGATGAAGATGAGACACACGATTAATTTAAGGTAATTAATAACATTATTATATTAATTATCATCTTACAGAGTGGATTTCAATATCTAGATAAATTAGATATTATTTTTAGAAAATTAAATAATTTAAATGTGATGATTAATATTTGATAGCTATCGATTCAAAAGATTTCAAGAGTATCTAAACTATTGGTTCACATAATGAACATAATAAATTCTCATGTCTTTTATATGTATAAGCAAATCATTTGTTTTTTCTATTAATATAGGTTCCCAAAAAGTGCTCCACTTTTACACACCTGGTGATAACATGGTAAATAAATAAACTTAATTTGAAATAATATCTTTTGAAAGATATCACAATACCCAAGCTAATATCCAATATTTCAGGAGGAACTATCACCAGGGTGTGGTTTTTATCTGCCAAAAACAAGAAAGCTATATATTGAGCATGTGTCGGAGAGTGCTATGGGACACGAATGGACCAGTGTAGTGCGAGAAGCTTTATTGTGTGTGTATGGCAAAGAGCTACGCCATTTCTCGGCTACTGGCTCTAGAAGTAAGCGGCCAGCCATAGACCGAAAGTTATTTCTAGCGTTATTAGGTACACTTTTGTCTACATTAAATTGATATTACTATTATCTAAAAATTTGATAAACTATAACACTTATATTAAAGAACTGCATTTTATCATGATATGTTTCCATATTTAACAATAATAATGTTTATAGTAATAATATACAGATATGTATATGTACGAGGTGTGTTCAAAAAGTACCCGGAATTTTTAAATTTCGCGGGTCTGGAGTGTCTGATTGTCAAATTTTTTTTTTATTGTGTTGGTATACATGCCCCTAAAGTATGATGAAATTTTCAGCTATATTCACTGTTTACTTTGTCTGTGGTAGTCGCTAAGGTTCGACGTGTTTTTCTGAGCTCAGCGATTTTTACAATGGAAGAATTGAAAAGTCAAAGAATTTGTATTAAATTTTGCGTAAAAAATGAAATAAAGTGTAACAAAGTGTGTGAAATGTTACAAAAAGCCTATGGTGAGTCTGCTATAAAAAAAACAAGTGTTTACGAGTGGTATAAGCGTTTCCAAGATGGCCGCGAAGACGTTGAAGGTGACGAACGCTCCGGTCGACCCAGCACGTCAACAAACGATGAAAATGTGAAAGAAGTGGAAAAAATGGTTATGAATGATCGCCGAATCACAATTAGAGAAGTTGCTGATGAAGTTGGCATATCAATTGGCTCATGTCATAACATTTTTTCAAATGTTTTGGGCATGAAACGAGTGGCAGCAAAATTCATTCCAAAACTGCTAAATTTTGACCAAAAAAGCAATCGCATGAACATCGCTCAAGAGCTGTTAAATGACGTCAACAACGATCCAAGTTTGCTTGAAAGGGTCATAACTGGTGATGAAACATGGGTGTACGGTTATGATGTCGAAACCAAAGCCCAATCGTCCCAATGGAAGAGCCCAGGTGAGCCAAGACCGAAAAAAGCACGTCAAGTTCGATCGAATGTCAAGGTTTTGCTTACTGTTTTCTTTGATTATAACGGCATAGTGCATCAAGAGTTCTTACCACAAGGTCGTACGGTTAATAAGGAGTATTACCTTGAAGTGATGCGACGTTTGCGTGAAGCAATCCGAAAAAAACGCTCCGATTTATGGAAAAACAATTCATGGCTGTTGCACCACGATAACGCACCTGCTCACTCGTCGTTGCTTGTTCGTAATTTTTTGGCCAAAAACAATACCGTAGTCATGCCCCAACCTCCATATTCACCAGATATGGCTCCGTGTGACTTTTTCCTATTCCCAAAGTTGAAGAGACCCATGAAAGGACGGCGGTTTTCCTCGATTGAAGAAATAAAGGCCGAATCGCTGAGAGTGCTCAAGGACATATCAAAAAGTGAATATCAAGGATGCTTCGAAAATTGGAAAAAACGCTGGCATAAGTGTATTATATCTGGGGGGGACTACTTTGAAGGGGACCACATTAATGTAGACGAATAAATAAATATTTTTTTGAAAAAACGAAAATTCCGGGTACTTTTTGAACAGACCTCGTATGTGTGGATATTATTAATATATTTATTCTTTTTTTTCTAGATTGGTGTAATAAATTGAGCAAAACTATAATTAAAAAAAAAATTGCTCATTCAATATATTAACAAATGTTGCTCCAATAAAAGATTAAAAAATAAATAAAAAATAAAACATGTTTTATTATTAGTATGTTTATATATATTTGTATATATATATATATATATATATATATATATATATATATATATGTTTGTTTGAGAAAGCAACCTTACTAATATATATATATATATATATATATATATATATATATAATATTTCAGGATAGAAAGCAACCTTACTAAATACCTAACCTAAAATTACACCTCGATATTTTGACGTATAAAGACCTTTTTAAACGCTTGACGTTCTTAAAATCTAAAACCTTTTTACGAACTTTAGGTTACTAAATCTGCTCTAAGCATGTCCTAAATGCTGTGGGAAGGTCTTGCGCTTATATGGCGTTGGGTCTTAATACATAGCTTTTACCGCGTTTTGGGAAGGCGCTGTAGTACATAAAAAGATTTTAAATTTCGGCACGGGAACTGTGTTAAATAATAAGACATGCTGTACTACAATGCACTTCAATAAACGGCAAAATGCCACTTGATTTGGAGGTTATATAAATGTGGAAAAATACTGTTAAATATCCATGTCTTCGAGAACAAGCTCGACGTTTAGTTTCTACTGTTGTTTAGGAATTACCTACTGTTGCGAGACAACATTTTCTCTCATGTTAAAAAAAAGAAATTCATGAAAGCAAATTACAGATGCACATTTAGCGGATCAATTAAAGCTGTGTGTTACGAAGCTGAAGCCAAATATACAATTACTGTCAAGCAAAACACAAAGCCTAATAACTCACTATCTTAGTGAATAAAATTTTTTTTTGCATTTCTTTTTATTATTCTATATGCATATTACTTTCTTTCGGTCAATGTTTCGGTTCAATGATGTTCAATGTCTCTTCTTAATATTCTATACTGTTTCTCTAAATGATCTGCAATCTGAAAGCGATTAGCAAACTTATGATAAAATCGAGAGCCAAGATGATCGCAATGAAAACTCCAATGCACCAAAGGAAAAATCTACCTGTGACATTTCAGTCTGTCCTGAAGACAGACTCAAAACACCTGGCCAATCAAGAACTGCAAGAATTTTAGGATAGTGCATGTGCATCAGGAGACAAAACGTATATCCAAAACGTCCAATATAAAATTGGTTTTGCTTTGCATTGCTTTTCATTAAAACCTTGAAGCTTTTTGTACCATAAACAATCTGAAATATGTATTTAATTCACAGAAACTTGTGAAATAGCTTATAAAATCATCGAAACGCGCACGTGGATATTACTTTTTCTAAAATTTATACATCGTTTAGATAAAAATTAACGTATTCGACTAGAGCTTATATGAGACAAGCAACGACATAAAAAGCCAAACTTCACTTTCGACATGTGCAGTATAATGAATGGGCAAAAATAAATCTTATGTGACGTTACATTTGTTAATTAGATTAATGAACAGAAAAAAATTTGAAGTAAAATTATAAGACAAAAGAACTATAATCACTAATTATATGATTTTACATTAAAATTACCACATTGAAATATTTAAATTGTAATATATATTTGTGTGTATTGTTAATTAGTATTTGTGTGTTCGTAGTTTTCCATCATATCTTACGCGTTACATTGTGTTGCTCATTGAATATTTAAAATTAGTTAAATGTAATTTATAGCATCAGTAATTATCCTCCAACTATGAATTGTCAAGTGATTACGAATTGATTTTATTCAACATTACTTTTTTATGTAACATCCATGCTGCATGATATTCATCATTTTCTTCGTATATCAATTTCACGATTTTGGTGATATATATTATACAAATAAGTAATTTGTTGAAGATTGAAAATAACTTGTACCAGAAATAAGGTAAGTCAGGTGAAGGTCCAAAATTTTTGTCACCATCACAATTGATTTGGACAAATACATCTTCACTACCTTGAATAATTTCTGAAAATATTGAAAT